GGACAGACAGACAGACAGACGGACAGACAGACAGACAGAGAGACAGACAGACAGGCAGACAGACAAACAGACAGACAGACAGACAGATAGACAGAAGGAGAACTTAATAGAGAAGAGGCAGACAGCAGCAAGAAAGACAAAAACAAAAACAAACACTCGCAGAGATAGAGACGAAGAAAAAGAAAAGAACAAGCGAAGAAGGAAGCAGAATAGAGAAGACAGAAGGAGCAAAGGTCCACCAGTGCTCCTCCCCTCACGTCTATCGATCTCAGGGGGAGAGAAACAAAGTCATTTCTGAACACGACGTCTTCCTCCAAGCGTGGATTCCTTCAGGAATTGAATAATGGAAAAGGTCGACCGGCCCCAGAGAAGGGTGGGAGGCAAGGAAGAGAACAGAGAAGCCGAGCAACCAAATTAAGTTTGCCATGTATGAAAAACTCGTCGATTCGATTAGGGGGTAGTGAACGGGCATTGAGATCGCCCTATCTTGTTTAAAAGATTGTCTGGATTTTAAGGAATGGCGAGCGCTTGTTGAAACACTTCTTCTGCACTGCTCTGAATGAATTCTTTTTTATGTGCTTGCATCCTTCTGCAAGAAACGATGGGTGTTTTTGTCTGCTGGCATTTTGAAATATGAAAATAACCACACACAAAAAACAAACAACAAAAAAAACCCCGTTCAAAACGTGTTTTCTATGATCAGACGAACTTACGACTTTTGGATAAGTGGAAAAGGATTGTACACAGACGTTACCATATCACAAAGACATGTTTTTAACAGTTTTTATATCTAACGTTTTAAAAAGGGGAAATAAATAAAACAACCGTTACAATTAATTACTCCCCCTCAGCCGATTTTTTGGTTAACTTTCTCCTTCGACTTTGATTAGGAAAATGACAGAAAAAGCTGGAATCTCATTAATTCATCTTTAAATTGACAAAACAAAATGATGTCTCTCTATCAATATTTCACTTATACGAAATAAAGGAGGAAATTTTCACTTTGCTTGCGGTTCCACGTAAACCAATTGCCGGGCATTCGCCGTCCGTGTTGTTGATTAGCTGGAGCTTCTGATGACTGGCAATTTGGGAGACGACAGACAGGGGCAAACTAGTTTCCATATTAAGTATTTAGAGTGGTGTAGTTGCCAAAAGTATTATTGTGTAACGTCTAACTTTCCACGCGCCTCCGTGCCAGAGTTAGAGGCGTGGTTCAAACAGTCTGACATTTTGGATTCAGACATCGCTTTTAGTATAAAATACATTTGCAGTTCTTTTTCTTTTTCTTCTTGTTCTTGATCTTCTTGTTCTTGTTCTCCTTCTTGTTCTTCTTGTTCTTCTTCTTCTTCTTCTTCTTCTTCT